ACTACCCCAAGACTTTTAATGTATGAAAATGTCAGTTTTAAATTTTCCTTGCAGAAGAGGTACGTTTTTAAAAAGTTATTAAAATCCTCATAGAATTGAAAATGTGTCTGTGACTCCTTGGGCTCCGAGTATTCAATTTCACACCTACAGTGATTTTCAAAACCAGAATTCTGTTGATTTGCTTCCTGGCTAAAACCTTGAAGGCTTCCACTGCAGTTTGAATAAGACTCCCTATTTTAAGTGTGATCTCTGAGAAACTGTACCTTCGGGCCCTTGCCTGTCCATCCTGTACGTTGTGCTTCAGCCTCACTCCCTTTGGTTCTTCTGTTGTGCCAAGTTCCTTCCTGCCAAGGCTCATTTAGTTGTGTAGTTTTCGTCCCTTGAATGCTTGCTCCCAGGTGGCACTTCTTCTGTTCCCTCGAACAGCCTACTCCTCCTTCAGCTTAGACACTACTCCTCCATGGCGGCTCCCTCTGCGCCCCCAGGCCTGATTGTGCCCCATTATCTACTCTCGGCATTCTCTACTTCCCTTTGTAGCACTTACAAGGATTGCAACTAGTCACCTGCAGAATTCTTTCTTAACTGTGTTTCTTTAAGGTGTGTCTCCCTGCCAGACTATGAGTTCCTCAAAGGCCAAGGGTAGGTCTTTCTTCACTGCTGTATCTCCTATTGCACCACACAAAATGCCTGCTACATAAGAGGTCGTCAAAATTTGCTGAAAGGAACCACTGCAGATCCTTACACTAAATGATAAATTAGTAACACTTATTGGCAGATAATCTCATTGGAATAAATATTAGAAGTGTGTACAGGAGCAAACTAGGAAATAAAAGTAACGATTAAGGTGACTTCCATCAGGATGGAGTGAGAATTTGGGATTCATGCATCTGGGGTTTGGAGTGACGGTCACCCAAATAGTAAGTATGTTAGAGTTTTCTATTCAGCACTTCTTTACCTAACCAAGAAGATCCATTTTGATATAATCTATACTCCTTTTGTTTTGCCTCTGTCTATGCTGCCAAGCAAGTTATGTAATTCTGGTCATTGGCTTGAACACTGAGGAGTAAGCCAAGAACCATGATTCAAGGCTTATAGACAAAGCAAGACAAGGTTCTAAGAGCTCCCAGGAAGGTCAGAAGATATGGCCCAGGGCAGGTTACTGTGAACTGAGTGAAAATGGCTCCAGGTCTGCTTCTTTCTAGCATGGGTGGGGGTGGAGTAAGGCTACAGGTAGAGGCACACACGCCATGTATCTTGTAAAGGTTATAAATCTTTTGAAGAAACTTAAACGAATAGGTTCTGCCCTCCTATTTTGACCAACCAACTTTCATAATGACATGGAAAGACAGATTTTAACTGAGAATTCTGAGTCCTCACAGTTCCATGCTGACACATTATTAACATAGTAAGAGCTACCATCCATCTCCCCTGCCCGTGACTCATGGACCGATTTGTCCTGTCTTTCCGACCCCACTCTGACCTGAAGTGTAAGGGGCCTCCCAGGCAAGGAGTGCATGTGATGGACACTACAGGTGACACACCCATGCTCTGTCCATACTTCCAGTAGACAGTGCCTCCTGGCCACCCACTAGGCCAGGGGCAGGCATACCTGGGAGGAGAGACTCGGGGAAAGTGCTCATGCAGGCCTTGGATGTGAACTCAGGGCCTTTGGGCAGGTAATTCTTAGGGCTTGTGTCCCTAGTTCAGCACAGTTTTTACCCCGAGAGCACTGTGGAGAAAGCCAGAGTGAGGTCCGAGAGGGTCCCTGAGCCCAAGTCCTTCCTTCCTGAGCTGAGGATGATACAAAATGTCATGGTGGCAGGCTAATTTATCCCAGCTCTTTTTTTCTGCTATAATCTGTGTATGTCTAGAAAGAACTAAAACTGGAAGGGAAGTGTGAAATACTACACTGGGCAAAGGGTTTTTTTCTGTCTTGCCTGAAGGTTCCCGCCCCAGGCAAGTTCACTATGGATTCAGTGAGACCAATAAATGACAACAAAGTGTTCTTGGTAAAAGGGTTTATATCCAGCTTTATTCTCCTGGGGGGTAGGTTGAGCACTAAGATCACAGCTGTGACCAGCAGTCTTCAGGTCCATAATCCTCCTCGGTCTCTGCCTCCACCCAGAACACTGGGCAGAGCTCTTTATATAGTGACTCAGCCAATAATAGCTCATTGCCTATAGGAGTGGAAGCAGTAACCTAGCAGTAGGCCAGTGACATCATCAAGGCATTTAGGGTCAGGTGAGGATCCTGGCCTTAGAAACTTCCATCTTCCCCACATTTCCCTCTCCTGGAAACACTTCAGGCTGCTGAGTCTGGAACTTGGCCCAGGATCATGCTAGTAGGACTGGTCTGTTTTCTTTTAGGTCAGTCCAGATCCTCAAAAGACCACAACTACCAGCACAAATAGCATAGGTGCTTTACAATGTTTATATTGTTGATACCAGGTGCTAGAGATACCAGGAGACTATATGAAGAGAAGTAGGACTTGGATTCATTTTTTAATTTTTCATTGATTTATCAAAGATGACATTTATTGAGTAGCCCCTAAGTACATCTGTGTTCTTATTTAAAATCATGATCTTACACCTCAAATTAGAGGACAAAGAGGATTTATAATGTTGGTGTTTTTAAAAAAGGCTCTAATATAAAACATGACAGTGAAATGAAACTATTGCAAGAGAATTGGCTCACTTCTTAGCAGCAGGACCTCTGCTCAAGGTTTGTCAGTGTCACCTGGGGGCAGTTGCTACCAATGTACATTCTTGGGTCCTGTCCTGCTGGGTTAGACTCTGGGAATTTACCATTTTGAGAAGATCCTGCAGTGATTCATACATATGCTCTCAAGCTTTCATCTGCCACAGATCCCACTGGAGGAGAGTGGGGCTAAGACATGTGTATTTTTAAATAGCACTCCAGATAATTTTGATAATTAATCTAACATTTGGGAGCCATTGAACAAGGTGCTCTCTAAAGGGATATTATTTGAGTCGGTGGTTCTCAAAGTGTGGTCCTGGGACCAGCAGCTTCAGCATCACCCGGGAACTTTCAGAAATGCAAATTCATGGGCCCCATGGAAGCCCAGAATAACATTCTCCAGGGACACAATTTAACAAGTCTGCAGGTGATTCAGATGCTGCTAAAGTTGGAAAACCACTGGCTTAAAATAGCTCCCTAAACCTCATTCCCCAACAATTCAATAAGGAGGCATTGACAGTCCCTGAACATTTTGTTCTTCCACGCACTGCAGAGGGCCTGGAGAAGTCACACTTGTCAGACATGTGCTGGTGGCCTTTTATTTGCACTGCTGATTTTGGGACTGGAGTGATCAAGTTCAGGAGGTAGAAAGAAGTCTTTCTCTGCAAATAAAAATGATTGGCTTTTATAAAGAGTTTTATTTTGTGCTTTGTACTTTCCTTATTTCCAGATACTAAGGAATTTGGATCAGCAAAACAAAATGCATATATTCCTAGAAAATAAAACAATCAGAAAAAAGTGATTTGTAAATATAGTCAGCTGGGTGTGGCTCTGGGTATAAAATTACTCAAAGCTGGGGGGAGGGGGAAAGTTACTCAAAGCAGGACAGGCACTTCCAGCTTCCTGTGTTTTCAAGGGTCCTCGGTTGGGAGCTGACATCATGAAGGATTTTTCGGGGTTACAATCGTCTTTACTTTTGTGCGTGATTTTGGCTTTCTCTGAGCAAGAGTCAGGTACAAGAGCTAACCTCGTGTTTGCTGTTTGAAGGTGTAGTTCCTCAGAGGTTGCTGGGCCTGTCACTGTTGTTTTGAGTAGAAGTGACTTGCCATTCATGTTATTTTTCATACAATTTTTCTATTGTAGGGTTGCTATCTCTCCTTGCCCTTCCCTTCCCCACAAAGCAAGTGATTTATCTAGTTTCCCCTTATACTTGGGAAAGACCTAATTTTTAAAAATCTTTCCTTCTATATGTAGGTGTTGATGACTGTGTAGCTCTCCACCCCCCTCACCTGGGCTGGGGAGAAAGATCTCCCCATTTAAAGTTTCAGCTTGCCCGTCCCTATCCCACCCTGATCCACTCATAACGCAGTTACCTGCATCCGCTCCTAAGTGTGTGTGATTTCTAAATGGGGTGTGGTAACGAAGCTGTTCATTCGTTCTCTTCTAACATCTTATTTTTTCTGACTCATAAACTTACCTTTTTTAGTATCGTATTTTATTTGCAGTCTCCTTACCTTGTCCATGTGTCCCACCTGTGGCTTATTTTACAGTAATCTTTTCTTACCTAATATATCTTTTCATTAAAAAGTCACTGGATGAAAGGACTGCAGAGACAGTGAATATTTTGTTACTCCTAGTATTTCCTTATCAAAGTATAATGGATAGCTTTACCTGTAGGATATGTCATGGCATGTCTATTTAAAACTTGCCTTAGGATCTATTCCTGGTGATAGAATTAATGTGGCACCACAACTGTGGATAGATTCGAGAAGACAGACTCACCAGGCAGGAATAGGCTTTATCTAAGGCCTCTTCATTTTGCTTTACAGGATACAAGGCAGGAGACATAGCAGGTTCATTTCATTGGCAGATCCAGAGCTGCTCAGATAAATGGTTTCCTTCACCCTTAGCTGCAAAAGCTGTGTTGGGCTGCTATGGACGGAGCCAGAAGCTGCAGAGGAGCTTCAGTGTGCCGCTGATTTATGCTGGCCTGGTCCTGTAGACACACCCCAACTTGAGGAGCCCCCAGCGCAGGGCCAGTCCTCACAGCAGAGGCAGCTGAACTCTAGTTCTCAAGGAAATGGTGCTGGGAGGTGGGGACAACAGAGATTGTCCTCAGGTAGATCCGATGTGAATGTTTTATTCACACCTGTTAAAGGACTTCATCTGAATGATCACATTGCTTCTGTCAAGGATGTTTCAGGGCGTATTTTCTTTTTTCTGTAAGAGGCTATGCTCAGATTTTCTCTGAGCATCCTCTAGGACAAAAATTTCTGTCTGAGTCTTTCTTTTTTGGTTTCCAGTGTCAGTGGGATGTACTTGTTCTACATTCTGGGCTATGGTGGAACCAACACTACTTGGTCAAGATCAAGTTTTGCATCCTGATGAAGTGTCTCTGGGAACTGGCTGTCCTGTAACCGAAGTAACTGCGAGGGGATATAAGTTTAATTACCCTGTCACCGAGTGTGGGATTCAGAAAGAGGTAAGATCTGTGACCATTTCAAATAATAAACTAACCCTCAGATCTTACCTTGCAGTGCAAGACAGGTAGAGTGGAGACCAACGATGAAGGCCCTGCTCACTTTTATGACACCTGGTTTTAGTACTTTTAGGTTGAAAAGACCAAGGGGATCCAGGAATTGTCCTTGAAGCACTTATGGCCTGTTAGAGGAGAATATATTGACATGTATAATATTAGGACTTTTGAAGCACTCTTATGTCTTCTTTTGTCCTTACCTCTCCTAAAATCTAGAAACATTGTAAAGAAGGTATTACTTTCAGTTTTCATGTTAATTAACTGAATCTAAAAGGGCTAGCAATTTCCCACAGGTCTTAAGCTTAGGTACTAAGTTGGAATTTACAGTCTTCCTTTGAAGACAGCAGTGAGATGTTGTACTCCGTAACGTGCATCAGAGAGAGAAAGCATTAGGGGAGTTCAGAGGAAGGGAAGATCTGAGGATGTTTGAGAGCATCTTGTTTATGATTTTTATATCTATGTCACTGAATGAGCTTGGCCTGCAATTGCCATTTCTAATAACTCCTTGTCATGTTTTGGAGAAGTTCATGTAGGGTCGGAATTTTTTGATCCTTGAATGTTCAATAGGACATGGAGGCAAAACCTCCTGTAGCTTTCATTGTCCTTTGGGGTTATGTGATTAGTGTGAAGTGGAGTCCAGGTGACTTGTCTAAGGTCATAGACCTTGGGAGCAGGGGAGCTGGGGAGTAAGCCCAGGTTTTCTGACAGCAACTTTCAGACTAGTCAACAGTGACCTTTGGTGGGGCATGATAAAGTGGACTCTGCAAGGGGTTTTACAACATGAACTCAAAAGAAATATAACTGTAAGAAAATTAAGTAGAGAAGACTCCAACTGTCCATTTAGAGGCATGTGTATGTTTTATAAAAACAATTCTAATTTCCTTCCATATATTACTTCATCTCCACAAAACTTACTAATTCAAAACTTATTTTTTGTGGAGGTTTGCCTATTTCTAACTTTTCTACCTCTATTTTCCTTTCCAGTATTTTAAAACATGGCTTATTAGGGACATAGGACAAAAAATTCCAGAGCTAAAGGATTAATAGCCTGACTTAACAAAATTTACACAAACTGCAAAAGTGACACTAAGAGATCCAGAGATCAACCACAGTAACATTATAGGAACAAGAAACTGTGAAGAAAGACCACCAGAGCCACAGATTTCTTTTGAAGAGTATTTTCCCAGTGTATAAAAACCATTTTTAAGGTTTTTCAGAGCATGACAGCACTCCCTTGGAACTGACTTCCAAGAATAGATTGGTAATGTGTGTAACAACTTCGTTAATAGTTTTGAAAATTCTCAAGTTTGCCATAGTACACAAAAATCAGTGTTGATATTTTTGTGAGTATTTTGGTTTAACACCTTACCAAATCAGATTACTTGAGTGACTTTTATGATACAGAGGATGCCTCTCTCTTGATGCCTTCCTTTCTATATTATTTATTAAGAAGATTTTTCCATTTTTAGGGCAGGATCTAGAATTTCATTAGTTAGCATTCAAAATGAAAAGCAGGCTTGTAGCACTCAGTTGAACAAGCAGTAAATTCTGTGTGAACAATATAGTGATTTTGGTATATTCACAAAGTTGTGCAACCATCTCCCATTTTAATCACCCCCAAAAGATACCCCATACATGTTAATGGCCACTCCACAGTCTCACCTCCCCCTAGCCTGTGGCAACCACTAATATAATCTCTCTTTCTATAGATTTGCATATTCTTGCCATTTCGTATAAATGGAATGATGTAATATGATGTGGCCTTTTGTGATGCCTTCTTTCATTTAGCATGTTTTCAAAGTTTATCCATGTTGTAGCATATATAAGCACTTAATTCCTTTTCATGGCTGAATGATATTTCATTGTGTGGTTATACTACCTCTGGATTGTTTCTATTTTTTGGCTATTATGAATAGTGCTACTATGAACTTTGGTTTACAAGTTTTTGCGTGAACATATGTTTCAATTGGGTAAGTATGTAGGTGTAAAATTGTTGAGTCATACAGTAATTCTATATTTAAATTTTTGAAGAACTGCCAGACTTTCCTAAAGTAACTATCTCATTTTATATGCAATGTATGAGGGTCCAGTTTCTCCACATGCTTGCTGATACTTATTTCCTTTCTTTTTGATTCTAATAATCTTAGTGGGTATGAAACAGTATTTCATTGGGTTTTGATTTACATTTCTCTGATAACTAATGGTATTCAGCATCTTTTCATGTATTTATTGGTCATTTGTATTTATCTTTGGAAAATGATTATTCAGATCTTATCTTTTTAAAAATTTGAGTTGTCTTTTTATTATTGAGTTGTAAGAGTTCTTTTTCTGTATACAAGTCCCTTATCAGAAACATTATTAGCAAATATTTTCTCCCATTATGTGGGTTGTCTTTTCACTTCCTTGATAGCATCCTTAAAGCACAGAATTTTAAACTTTTAAAGTCTGATTCATTTATTTTTTCTTTTGCTGCTTGTGCTTTTGATGTCATATCTAAGAAATGATCACCTAATCCACAGTCAAGATTTGTGACTTTTTTCATCTGAGAGCTTTATGGTTGTGAGTCTTTGATGATTACTGCAGTCAAGCTAATTAACATATCATTTCCTCACATAGTTACTGCTTTTTTGTTTGTGATGAGTGCACTTGAAATCTACTCTCTTAGCATATTTCCAGTATTCAGTACAGTATAATTATATATAGTGATCATGCCTGTGCCCATACGTTAGATCTCTAGACTTATTCACCCTACATTACTGCAACTTAATACCCTTGGCCAATATCGTCCCAGGACCCCCATCCTCCCTAGCCCTTGGTAACCACCATTCTACACTGGTTCTATGAGTTCAGATATTTTGTTTTGTTTTTTTCAGATTCCACATATAAGTGAGATCATACAGTCTTGTCTTTCTGTGTCTGGCTTATTTCACTTAGCATAATGTCCTTCAGATTCATCCATATTGTCACAAATGGCAGAATTCCTTCTTCACGTGGATGACTAATATTCCATTGTGTATATATATACCATATCTTCTTTCCCCATTCATCCACTGTTGGATATTTGGGTTGTTTCTAAATCTTGGTTATTGTGAATAATGCAGCAATAAACATGGGAGTGGTATCCCTTTAAGATACTGATTTCATTTCCTTTGGCTATATATCCAGCGGTGGGCTTGCTGGATCATATGGTAATTCTGTTTTTCATTTCTTGAGGAAGATTCATACTGTTTTCTATAGTGGCTATGCCAACTTACGTTCCTACAAACAGAACACATGGGTTTTCTTTTCTTCACAAGTGGCCAACACTTGTTTTCTTTTTCTTTCTTTCTTTTTTTTTGTTATGGCCAACCTAACAGGTGAGAGGTAATATCTCACTGTGGTTTCGATTTGCATTTCCCTGATAAGTGATGTTCAGCACCTTTTCTTATACCTATTGGCTATTTGTATGTCTTCTTTTGAAAAATGTCCATCAAGTTCTTTGCCCATTTTTAATTGGGTTATTTGTTTTCTTGCTGTTATTTGAGTTCCTTATACAGTTTGGATATTAACCTTAATCACATGTATGGTTTGCAAATATTTTCTCCTATTTCACAGGTTTTCTGTGCACTCTGTTGATTATTTCCTTTGCTTTGCAGAAGTTTTTAGTTTGATATAGTCCCACTTGTCTATTTTTGCTTTTGTTGCTTGTGCTTTTGGGGTCATGTCTAAAAGATCATTGCTCAGACCAATGTCAAGAAACTTTCCTCCTTTTTTCTTCTAATTTTTGTGTTTTCACATCTTACATTTAAGTCTTTAGTCCACTTTGAGTTGAATTTTGTATATAGAGTGAGATAAGTGTCCAATTTCATTCATTTGCATGTGGAAAACCAGTTTTCCCAACTCCATTCATTGGAGACAGTCCTTCCCTATTGTATGTTCTCAGCACCTTTGTGAAGATCAAAATCAACCATAAATGAGTCATAATGACCATAAATGACCGTAAACAGATTTATTTCTGGGTTCTCTATGCTGTTCATTTGGTCTGTATGACTGGTTTTATGCTAGTACCATGCTATTTTGATTTCTCTAGCTTTGTTGTATATTTTAAAATCAGGTAGTTTTATTTCCAACTTTTACTGTTGCTACTTTGGCTATTTGCAGTATTTAGTGGTTTCATATGAATTTCTAGAGTTTTTTTCTATTTCTGTGAGAAATGCTGTTGAAATTTTTATGAGATTGTATTGATTCTATAGATTGTTTTTGTGGAGTCTTTAGGGTTTTCTGTATTAAAAAATCACATTGTTTGCAAATAGAGACAATTTTACTTTTACTTTTTTGATTTGTATGACTTTATTTGTATTTATATGCTCTTTCTCATGACAGTCAGCCTGAGCCTGGGTTGGCCTGGAGACTGGGAAGGGTGGGACTGGGGGTCCTCAGGGGCTAACCTAGAGGCTGGCTTGACACTGGTGTGGGCCTGGTGCTGGGGTCCATGGTGACGTCCAATGCTCACTTCTCTCTCTGCTAGGACTCAGTTTTCAGGAAAACTGCCAGACAGGTCAAAATGCTAATTTTCTGGGGATTGGGCTTTTAGGGAGCTGTAAACTCTTCTCTTTGGGTTCAGCTAAGCTGTTGGTTTTCATGATTACCATGGAGCTGGGGAGATGGAAAATGAAATAGAGCAAGTTAAAATGCCTCAAAGATTGTTATTTTTACTGAGATACTGCTGTTTTTCTTCAATACATGTTCTTTGGATTGTTGCAAGCTTAGGTTAATTTCTAGAGTTTTGGGAAAGTTGACTTTGACAGTTTCTGTCAGTTGACTTTTTTTTTTTTAATTGATTTTTGGTGGTTCTTACTCTGCCATACTAGAAGTGACTATTAAAATACATTTTTAATTGGTAGGAAAAATAAGGGGCATATAGTGTCTATTTCCCATACTTTATATACAACTTATAGACTCTTGACTAAAATAATATATTCAATAGCAACACAGTGGACAAATAACCATGTTATTGAATGTTATATTTCAATTAGATGTCCTTGGAATCATTTTATTTACATGAGAATATTTATTACATAAAATAACAGGTTGAAAAATGGTCATCTATTATGTATTTGTGATAATGAGAAACAGAAAAATATACCCCTAAATGTGTTTACAGATTTATCCCCGTGTTAGGATTATGGGAATTGTAATTTTGCCATAACAGGATGTTTTCAAATGTCTCCACAATGAGCACATATTCAGAACACACAAAACTCCAATTACAGCTTTAAATTAAAAGTGCCTCTCTCTCTAATCTTTCCTGGGACCTAGCACTGTGGCAACACTTGGAAGCAAAAATCCCAGAATAAATCCAAGTAGAATTTGCAGCCTTTGTTTCGAGCCTGGCAATTCATGATTTCAATTTCATGATTTCGGTTTCCATAAATCTCACTGGCTGCACTAATGGAAGAGTCTGACCTGGCGTTCTGTTATTGGTCTCTGGGAAAACAGTCTCTTTAGGGTCCAGGCGGATTGACCTTTGTATGAAGATTTTACATCTTGACTTGATCTGTGTTTTTGTTCAGATTTCTTTAAAACTCCTGTGTGAAATGATATGTGTCAATTAAAAAGGACTTTTTGTCCCATTAGGTTTTTTCCTATGGAGTGATTTTTTATTCAGCTCTCTACTATAACATAATGAGCAAAGGAGTCACTGGAAAAATTCCTTTAATGTGTATTGTTTCCAGGTGAGTGTAATGGACCAGCTGGTTCAGTTTTTACTTTTTAAGTGAAAAGTAAAAGAGAGTTCCAAGGTCAAGTCGACCTCACAGTTAAAGTGACCTCACAGTTTAATAAGTTTCACTTATTAAAGTGAAAGCTTGGTTGAGCCCTGCAATGATGGTTTACATCCTTGCTCAGTCCAGTGAAGCTCTCCTCCATGTCATTCAGTGGGTGCAAATGCTCTACTTAGGTCCCCTGGTGCCCCCCTCACCATTTCTGTGTGTCCCCTCTCTTGCTTCTGTGCAGTTTGGCCTTTAATGACCCCAGCTGGGCCTGGGAGTTCACTAGCCTCTCCCCACCGCCCTGACTGAGTGGAGTGTGAAAGCCACTCTGGTGCTTGAGTCGGGAAGGAACTGTGAGGCCGACTTGACCTTGGAACTCTCTTGCAGCTTCTGCTGAGGCTGGGACTTTGCCTGAAGTAGCACACTGTCATTATCATCATCTTCCTCTCCCCTCATTTCCATACTGGGAGCGCTTCTGTAATAAATCATGTGTATGTAAATGTCCTTGTCAGGTTCTGCTTTTGAGGAACCCTACAAAGACATACTGAATGGGTTAAATAGAGTTCAGTGGTTGATGGGTTCAAGATCATCTAGTTAGGAAATGTCAAGTCAGGACCTGCACATGCCTCCTCACACAGCTGCCTCTCAGATCAGGAGATGCTTGGAGAAGGAAAAATGGTAGCAGAACCATTCAGTCTCTTCTTTAAGGCCGGCTATTTTTAAGAATTAAATCCTCATTTATGATCTTTATTCTATACAAGACCTAATGTTTTCCAATTTTGATTAACTTACATAAATCCTGTACCCTTGAATGGGCATAACTGGATTGAAAAAAAAGTTAAAAATAAAAGATTAAGGTGCTTGTTTAATATAGATACTATGATCTTTGGTTCTTGGGAAAACTTCTTAAATTTTTTAAGTGTCAGTGAAATAACACTTTTAATGCTCTAGTATTTTATGAAAGAAAAATTTGAAAGATCTAGGACTCTTGCTTTAAGCTTATGAGAGTTGTCTTTGGGGAAACTTCTTCATAAGGCTATCGGAGCCAAGATTCTCTCTATTGGGGAATGGGATGCCCCAGTGGTGGAGTATTGGGAAGGAGAGAGGGAAACTTAATAGTGTTATTCTTAAAAACAACAATGAAAAAAACCAAACAGACACAGCCTGGTAATGGTGGTAAAGCTTTTACTCTTAAAGTAGGGTGGACAGCAATGGCTCAAGCCAAAATGGGACTTAATGGTTTATTTTTAAATTTACCCTGATGTACAAATTCTCTCTTCCTTAAAATGTATAGCTCGTCATGTTTGGATACCACTCCAAGCACTACCAGCAACAATCTCACACAGCCCCAAAATGATCTTCCCTCTGCTGGTTCTTCCTGGAACTTGGCCGACACGTGCCTGTTTGGATTGCCCTGGGTCCCATACTTCCAGCACTCCTCGGTGAGGAGCCTTAGAACAGGCAAGGCATGACAGTGCTGGCATACGGAAGGAACAAAGCTTAAATTTCTGCTAATGTGTTTTTTGTTTAAATAGTGTCAAGCTATATAATCTGATGAATCTTATTTAATTATAATCATGTTTGGAAATGTATGCTACTTCCATGTGTCTGTATATGTTCTGGTCTTACTGATCCATCTTCCCTCACCTCAGTTATGTCAAATTAACTAAATCTCTGGTCTGAGAGATTTAAAGATAATCTGGACTGATGATCAAACCATTCACTTTAAATAGTGCTTGGTCATTTGATTAAAAGCTGCCAAGTGTCTCAATATCCTCAACCTTCCCCTCCAGTAGCTGGCACATAGTAGATGTTCAATTGTCATTGGTCAACTTGTTAGTGTATTTTTGCACCATTTAGCCAGTAGCTCCATTGCAGCTGTTCATTAATTACCTATCTTTTTCTTCTGCAGGTGAACACATCTCATCAGTCACTTCTGCGTAAAATGCCTCATTCTCTAGTCTGTGAGAGTGCAAATGTGGCTGTGTTCTAGATTGTTCTGTGGTAATCTTGATAACTCTATTATAGCATTCTTAAATTTAATCTTAAACTAATCACTATAGAGTTTGGAACTTTTCCCACCTCCTGGGAGGCCATCTAGAAGTCAGGGTTGGGATGTTGCCTAATACTTCATATGTTTTTAACAAGTGTTCTTTTAAACAAAGAGGCAAGGTAGTCCTTTCATATTCATGACAAGATGTCTGTATATGATTTTTATGTGGAGGTGATTCTACAAATAAAACATGCTGTGTCTTTGAGGCTACGCTTCTTGATGTCTGAGTGATAACCTTAGAATAGGGCCTAAGCTGGGAGGTTGGTGTGAAGAGTCACTGACACCCACCCCGCTGTTAGTAACTGTTCAATAACCCATTTATGGAGATAATGCTGGCCTATGCCTGGTCATGGGTTATAATTCTTTTAGCTTAACTTTTACGGGGAGTGGAGAAGACATCAGAAAAAATAGAACTGATGAAGAGCTTTGAGAATGTGAGCAAGTGGCTCACGCCTGTCATTTAATTAAGCGCCCCTTCACACTGGAACCCTTCTCAATGTTAGCACTTGTATTAATCTGTTTTTTTTAAACCCATCTTGAACTATGAACCCTTATTCCATTCAGATTACATGCCACTGACCAGCTGTGCCTCAGGGGAGGTTATTTGACTCCTCTGTTTATGAATTTATATAAAGATTTTAGAACCTGTTACAATGTTAACTCATATAGCAGATACAGTGAATAAGCCATAGGTTTATTATCAACATTAAAGATGAGTTGTAGAATGATAAAACCAGTATGACATCATTTGTAAAGTTTAAAAAATATATGTGCTAAATATACAATACTATCTACATATATGCATTTAGTAAAACTGTAAAACGATGCATGGAATGGTTATCTCAGGAGAAGGAAGGAAAATTGGGTTAAATAGGAGAATATGGGGGGACATATCCACCATAATATTTTATTTCTAAAATAAAATGCTAACAAATACAATGTTAACATGTTAAAGTTGAGTGGTGGGTATTTGAATGTTATATCCTTCAATCTTATGATTGAAATATTTTTTTCGTTTTCCTATACATTACTGCTTGGGTAGAGAACCTCAATATTACTGACTTATATAAATCTACACTTTTACAGCGTGCTTTTACACAGGTCATTTTCCAAATAAGAGAACAAGGCTTTAAGAAGGTGAATTGCCACATTCACTTTGCTAGCAAGAAGCGAAGCTAGAACTGAATGATATCTTTTGTACTTTAATTTCCCATGAATGTTATCAATGTTGGCAGATGTGGGCAGTAACGTTCTATTGTTCAGTAGTTTTCTGAACTGTGCACAAGTCATATTTTAAATTCAGTAGTAACATAATAATACTTTACTGTCTGTACCTTAAACCCTTTAAGAAAAATTTGGGAACAAAGGTGGAAATGAATATCATTGGATCAAGGCGGGGATAAGAGTAGAAAGTTTGATTGCACTGCAGGCCTGTGGAAACAGTAAGTAGGGAGAGGCTGGATGTGTGTCATTTGAAAATGACTGGCAGTGCCTCCTGCTGTCAGAACCTGAAAGTGAGTCTGGATTAATTCATGCACTCTCAGCTCCAAGGTGCCGATGTGGAACCGAGATAAGGGTAAGCAACACATGTGAGCTTCCTGTGCTAGCAGAGATGACTACTGTCTGTTGTAGTAATGGGGACTGGCAAGGGTTTCTGTAATGTGTCAGGGCTAAAGTTGTTACAGTTTGCTTATTCTCCCTCCCCCTTTCTCTCCTTTCCAGAATTCTTTTAGGATGCCTGTTACTTTCATAAAAAAGCATTTCTTCTTGCCATTTCCATCATCCTTTAAATTTCAACATCATATTCAGACTCCCTTCCCTAAACCTCAGTTAACTCCAGAATGGAAACCAGGGGCTGATAAATTCAGAAAATGATGACACATTAGTAATTTTCATTTCTGCAATGGATATATGCAAGGATTTTGCATCAGCGAGGGCTAAAGGTGCTTATAGTTTGCATATTGATTCTCCTTATCTAGCATTCATTTGGAATGAATCCATTACATTCATAAAACATTATTTCTACTTAAGATTTCCATCATTCTTTAAAAGTGAAAAGCCCACTAACTCCAGAAGGGGAACAAAAGTCAGACAGTGGTGACCCTGATGAGTGTCCCAAAGCCAGGAAGGTGCCAAAGGACCCAAAGTACTAGAGGAAAAAAGCATTTCCATGGATTTTTTTTCCCCATTCAATGAACTCGTATTTTGGGAAGTTATCTAAATCTTACATATTGACTTATATCCTTTAGTTTTGGAAGGTAGTGTTATAAAAGGACACAGCTTAAAAATAAGTAGGGTCTAGGTGTGTAATATAAATAAGTAAGGAATGACGGAAACTGAGGTAGCCCAGAGAGCCTAAACCATTTTTTGAGGGTGCAGTTTGTACTTAGCTCAAGTCCGAATGTTGTAGATCTTCTAATTTTCAAGAGAATGCAGAAGTCCTGAAGTTTAATATGAAGTGTTCCACTTTTTAAATGTTGGCTACTAACCAAACATTTAAAAAAAGCAGTAGTAGACAGACTAAGCCAAAATAATTCCATTAGGCACCAAAATTTGATCTTTGGTAATGGAATAAATGATGTAAGGTGTCTGGCATATGGTAGTTGCTCAATGTGTGTTATTTCCCTCTTGAACAGTAGTTCTCTAATGGTTGATCCCTGAACTTACCTTCCCCACATGTAGTCCACTCTGGGAGTGATGGCTTCATTATCTACCCTGAAAATTACATTCTTTAAGAAGCTCAAGGAGTCTATGACCTTTCTTAAAGGAACATAACACACAACATCACATCCTTTGCCTAACCATTCACATTGTACCTTCCCATTCTTTGATGCTTTATTCTTTTAAGAGATTGGCCATATGTGGAAATGAAATTTGGTTGCTTACCTTCCCTGATGCATTGCCCAACATATACATATAACTGGATATTCCAGAGAGGTTCCACCTTTGGACACTTCCTGGAGATTGGGAGCCCCTTGTGCCATTCTGGCTTGAAGCTTGCATTATTTAGGAAAAAACCTAACAGGACGGGCCCCAGAGTCATCTGACTTTATCTAATCCTGCCAAACACTGAGTGACTGAGTTTAGTCACAGGAAGCCACCAACTTATGATTTTTGAGATAATCAACATCTGTCTTAGCTTTAAAAGGATGGGGGAAAGTATTTTATGATTATAAGATTGTATCTGGGAAGACAAGTAGTGATTCTATAGCATCTTACTAAACTGATGGACAGCGACTGTAATGGGGTATGTGGTGGGGACTTGATAATGGGGGGAGTCTAGTAACCATAATGTTGCTTATGTAATTGTACATTAATGTTGCTTATGTAAATGTACATTAAAAATTGTACATAATTTTTATTGATACCAAAATAATAAAAAAAAGATTGTAACTGGAAGCCTCGAAGTAATTGACTTTAAATAAGTAAATAATAAGAGAAATTTAAAATAGTAAATCAGTAAGTTGTCCTATTAAAAAGTAAGAAAAATCACTGAAATAGATAACTTACATCCATATCTTAGCCCATTCAGGCTGCTATAGCAAAATACCATAAACTGGGTGGCTTATAGACAACATAAATTGACTTTTCACAGTTTTGGGGGGCTGAGAAGTCCAAGATCAAGGTGCAGGCAGATTCTGTGGTTGGCGAGGGCTTGAGTCCTGGTTCATAGATGGCCCAGAATGTGTTTTTGCTGTGTCCCCACAGGGTAGAAGGGGTGAGGGAGTTCTCTGGGTCTCTTATAAGGGTCCTAATCCCATTCATAAGGGCTCTGCCTCAGGGGAGGATTGGGGATTCGGTTTCAACATATTCATTTGGGGGACCCAAACATTCATCTGTGATACATATTAAACATCAAATACATAATATGCATGATATTTTATATATATAGTATGCTAAGACATAATAGACATAATAAATTCATACCATGTTTGTCTAAAAAGTTTAAAAACTGGTCATTTCTTTGGATCTTAATTGCATTATTGGGCCTCTATGCACATGTCATTGGACTTTGGTGTTTTTTTTTTTCTCCTGTTAATCCATCCATGTCCTGGCAGTTTGATTCCTAGACCAGCTGGAAGAACCTTGAAGGGTGGAGGAAAAAATTTCCTCCCCAACACAGCTAACAGGGCATTTTTGGAAACAGTTACCGAAATTACCTAAAAGAGGCACACCCTAAACTCAGGACCAGTTCTGTTCAGAGAACACTGAAAAGATTGGAGTTTAATTGTGGATTTGTCAGTGGTGCTGACTAGTAGTCAAAGCACCCTCATTTTGGCCCAGCTATCACCACCTGCTCAGATAGTCTCCCGTTAAACCTGTCTCCGTAGTGGCCACCAGAAGCTCTGTCAGTCAAATGGGAACATTTCCAGCTGTCTTCCATCTCCTCCCTCTTTTCAAAACTGAAGAGTTGAGCTGGAATAGGAAAATTTCACCCACAACATTAACTTCATTTGTTTCTGGCAGTTCTTCCATTTATTCTAACTGGTCCCAAATAGATTAGCTGGGTTTCTAGGCTATGTTATTCAGCATAACTAGGATTAACCGGCCACTACACAGCTAGTGAAAACATAAACTTGCATATACCAAGTTTTACATATGGTGAGACCCATAGCACAGGGTATTAAGAAATGATATTTAACCCACTAAAAGAAAACACATTTTTTATGAAGTTAAAAACAGAGGCAGACCCTTCTAAATAAAGGGATCGTAAAACAACAAAGAGCAATTCATTAAAAATAAAATCATCTAACACATTTTAAAATGTAAGATAAAATACATGATCCTCAGACAGTATTCCAGCCTCTATAAAGCAATCCCCCTGCAGTCACAGCTATAGGGATTTGTATTAGCTTCCAAATTTTCAGGTGGAGAAAGGTGAAGGGTGTGATTTTAAAAGTAGCAAATCTGCAAAGAGAAAAAGAATCAGAGCTACAATGTAGTTCCCTATTTTTTGCTGCAGATGACCTAGTGTTTCTAAGTCACAGGGAAGGATAGGGAGGGTGGGGAGAAAAGAGGTAATGGTAGGCATCATATCCTAAAAAAATTAATATAGGGGTTATATATGTCTAGGGATATAAATATTTTTGCTTCTCCTAATTATGAAATAGATATATGGAATATATATATGATTTTATATTGTTAGATAGTTACCATCTCTCTATTAAATAGCTCTTTTCCTTCCGGGGGATGCTACATCCAAAGATTTGTAATATACATATCTGTAAATAATCAGAATTTCCCTCTCAGCTATCTAAGAAGGAAATCCCTATAATTTAGGAAGTGTACTCTTTGGCAGACAGGCATTGAATCTTTTCAAGACAGTGAGTTTAAAACATTTATGCATACCACTATCATGGATTATCTATTTTATCAAAGTCCACATTCTGTGGTTTGGGTATTAGTTTTAAAACATTTCTATCTAATATTCTGTTGATGTTGATTCTGGTAAAATTGTTCCTTCTCTTGCCATAACCTCCAAGGCTCCTGAGGGACAATCTGAGTCACGTGGTTAATGCCAGTTAAGGCAATTGATGCCAGATAGGGGGTGCTAAGAAGACTAATGCACACCCCTAGTAAGCAAGATTCCTGGCATCAACCAGCTTTTCCTGAATTGGAAGCATGGCCTTTATATAATTTCCTTGTAAAAATCTTACTGTTTGGTGTTATAAAATATCCTTGGGCTGCATTAATCTATGCACCGTAAGTAACCCTACCTTAACTACTTTGCTTATTTTCTCTACAAGGTATAAATTTGCTATTCCTGTTTTTTTAAGGCCACCTTGTTTATTTGCCTTTTTTCCTAGGACAATTCCAATAGGAGCTGCTGGCTACAGAACAGGAAAAGAGGACAAAGAAAGAGGAATGGGATGAAGGTCTGTGCAAGTCCTGGTCACTGAGGTCCAAAACCTGAAGCCAACCCCTTGATCCTTACTTTTCCTGTTTTTGCGCCAGTGTCCTTTTCTATGAGGGGCAGAACATTATGAAGTGTGGTCATCGTGTCCTCATTTTAGAAAGTGAGTTTTTAGTTTAATAATTGAACCTAGTAAACTTTGTATAAAAGAAGGTCCTCCCAAACACACCACCAGATTTTTTCCTCAGAAGTCATTAGCTTAAATCTGATGCTCTTAGACCATCTGTAGAGCAGAGTCTAAATGAACCAGTAAGAGTCCTATGCCATGAATCAAGGAGAAAGTTAAAATATTTAATAGTTAAAACTAGTGTTCTAGTAAACCTTTTTCTTCAGCCTATAAATTCATAGTGATCAGCCTATTTTCATCACTGATTTAATCAGAAACTCTATTCCCCTTTGGTCTTTGCTAAGATATAAGAAATAAGAAATAGAACTTGTAATATCAACACTAAATAAAATTAGAAAATTCTAACAGTTATAAATATATATCTGAATATTATTCTTATATATAATACATTATCTAAATACAATACAGAACAGTCTATAATTTCTCAGTCTAAGAGTTCTAGGTACATGGTAAATTTAGTCCTACTAGTCTTACTGCAGGGACTTCATACTACATCGAATAGGTTAACTGGTATAATAGCCCCAGCAGGTGCATGATCTCAGTTACTCCTCACCACGGTTCTGTGAAGTAGGCACTATTATCTCCACTTTGAAAATGAGGAGACTGAGACACAGAGGTATTTAATCACTGCTCCAAAGTCACACTGGTCATAAGTCACAGAGCTGGAAGACCAAGAACATAGAATAACATGGTATCAGGGGACTAAGATTCTAATGAGGGCTTGGTCAACCCTGTCCCGTAACTCAGTCTCTCAGCTTCAGCTCTCCTCTCCTCCCCTAACCAGATGAAGGCAGTTGAGGGAATATAAAACCCGTTTGGCATTCTAGACTCGCCGGCAGACCACACAGGCCACAGGCATGGAAACTTCAAGATCAGATAACTTTGATATAAAGATGATTTCAGATGCAAAAAGGGGGACCGTTCCCTGGGTGGATCTGAGGAGACAAATGGAGTGTGTAAATTGACTTAAAGATTTTGTTAGGAATTAGTGGTTCAACCAACATCTCTGAAAAATGGACACATTCGCACAGCAAGGTGTCTTCCCAGTGGGAAGGAGGGCCACTTCAAAGTAGCCAGAAGAATTAACATCTGGTTTACAGGACGGCTCCTGGGAGGCGAGGGGCTAGGGTGCCTGTCACGTGAGTTTGAATCCTAGTACCTCAAAGTTCTCATTTATTATCATCAAGAAAGGGTTTTTAACCTTTTCTCTAGATTCTAAAAGGTCTTTAGATAGTGAGCATGACCTTTGAATACTAGATGAATAAGAGATGCATCTAATTAAAAAGAATACTTTAAATAGGTTTTTATGTTCTTGAGAAATAACTTTTTTTTTTGAGGAAATGTGGAAAATGTTGTCTGGACCAATATGAAGATTTACTCTCATCATCTGAAGACTGCCACAGTGAGTGTTTATGCTTTTCTTGGTTTGTTTAGGGAGGAGGCAGTCGTTCAAAGTCGTCATTTGAGAATGTCGATGTGTCTCCACTCAAAGTCTTCCTCCATTCGCCTACCGCCAGGGGGCACTAGCTGCTTGTTAAGACTATAAAAACGTAGAAGGCTATAAAGCTGCTTGCGCGGCTCCTGTGTGACAGAGCAGCGAGGGCCAACCTATGCAGGGCCGGGGAGGAAATCTGTGGCTTGGTGGTCTGCAGGGCTTCTGTCCCAGCTCTTCAGCTCTGCACTCAGAGTGTGAAAGTAGCCTTCAGTAAACGAGCAAGTGAATGAGCATGGTTGTGGTCCCATAAAACTGAATTTATGGACACTGAAAATTTAATTATAAAATTCTAATTATATATTTCATCTACATTTCACCTATCACAAAATGTTCTTCTTTTGTTATTTTCAATCATTTAAACACTTAAATGTTCCCTGAATATAAGAACATAACTTTTACTCCACTTCATAAGAAATTATTTTTCATTTTCTTTCCTTGGAGAATCAACCATTAGAACATCAGAATGAGGTCACTCATTTCTACTTGATATGGATACAGTGTGTTTTAGCTCTTTGAGTCACTGAAATTCCTTCTGTAATGAATGTTCTATATTTAAGAAAGCATTTTCTCTACTTCTTAGGTCTTTCATCATCCTAAGTACTTTTGGGTTAGACCCAAGTTGCTGACATTCTAGAAGACTAAGGATGGAAATAACTCACCAAATATTTTAATAAGATCAAAATTTTAAAAAAGGAAACGTGGTGTTGAAAATTATCTTGAAGCACATTAGGTGAGCTCTTCTGGCGAACACAGACCAAAGGATGGTGCTGACATTACAGAGTGTGTAAATTAGTCTAAAACTTACAGCAAGAATCAGGGAGCAATAAATGAGGGTGGGAGGGAGGTGACACATTTAGGATGGGGGCAAGCAGGATGGAAGGAGCACGCCCCCGCAATCCCGAGGTATGCCCTGTTTATTTTGCATCTGTCTGCTGCATCGGCTTTCTCCACTGACTGTGATTCTGTGGTTACAAGGAGCAAAGCTGAGGACTGAGAAGGGACCACAAACAGAAGTGCCCGGGGTCAGTGACACAAGTTTGCTCTATCAGAGACACAAGAGGTAGTGGTCACAGCTGTGTATAACACCAAGAGGTTTATCTCCGTGTGTGTGTGTGTGTGTGTGTGTGTGTGTGTGTGTGTGTGTGTACATTTTGAGGGGGTAGAGTAGAGCACATTGGGGCCAGAATGGGACCATATTAGATGTCACAAATGGGTGGACAATTTGGGGTTACAGAGTTGTTGGGTCATTTGATGGTATGACAGAAAAAGTTTTTCTTTCCATCTTTTCCCCCAAGTAATACTCTCATTTGTTCCATTATGTTTTCTGTCTATTCTATCTATCCTTGGCGTGCCTCTAGTTTGTAACTCACTTGCTTATATTAAACACATCTTATTGATTCTGATTCTATTTCACAAACTTCTTTCTTGCTCATGTCTTATGGGTTTTAACCACTTTCTTGTTTGCTTGCAAAAGTCAAATTGAATATCTCAAATTATACAGCAAACACACCTTACAAATGGTTATTGAAATGAATCAGAATTATCTGGCCAAGTTGGATGCTGAAGGTATATGGAATAATAACATTAAAATTCTGATATAAAATATATTTCAATCCTTTTCCCCTATTGTTAAGCTAACTAGAATTCATTTGTGACAGGAAAAAAGGATATTAAAAAATGTATAATCTTAAAGCACTGTTAACTTTAGACATCCTCTATGTGAGCATCACCAACAAAGTAGGGGTTACCGTAAATACTATATAGACTATGTTCAGACACAATGATCAAATAGCTCCTTTTGCCTGATATGTCTTTTTTTTAAATTAAAGTATCATTGATATACAATCTTATGATGGTTTCACATAAACAGCACTGTGGTTTCAACACTCACCCATATTATCAAGTCCTCACTCCCCCACTGCAGTCACTGTCTATCAGCGTAGGAAGATGCTATAGAGCCATTACTTGTCTTCTCCATGCTGTGCTGCCTTCTCTGTGACCTACTTATATTGTGATTGTGAATTACAGTGCCCCTTAATCCCCTTCTCCCTCCCCACCCACCCTCCCCTTTGGTAACTACTAGTCCCTTCTTGGTGTTTATGAGTCTACTGCTTTTTTTGTTCCTTCTGTTTTGCTTTGTTGTTGTATTCCACAAATAAGTGAAATCATTCAGTATTTGTCTTACTCTGCCTGGCTTATTACACTGAGCAATACAACACCCTCTAGATCCATTGGTGTTGTTGAAAATGGTAGGATTTCTTTTCTTTTTATGGCTGAATAATATTCCATTGTGTATATATGCACTACATCTTTATTCATCTATTTATGGACACTTAGGTTGCTTCCGTATGTTGACTATTGCAAATAGTGCAGCAATAAACATAGGGGTGCATATATCTTTTCAAATCAGGGATCTTGTTTTCTTTGGATAAGTTCCTAGGAGTGGAATTCCTGGGTCAAATGGTATTTCTATTTTTAGTTTTTTGAGAAACCTCCATATTGCTTTTCACAAGGGTTGCACCAATTTACATTCCCACCAGCAGTGAAGGTTCCCCTTTCTCTGCATCCTTGCCAGCATTTATTGTTTCTTGTCTTTTGGATGTTGGTCAGCCTGATAGCTTTGAGCTTCAGTGTTTGAGCAATCAGCCCTTAGGTGGTTGACCCTGTGGTAAGAGAACCAGGCCACCTAAGTAAGTAGAAAAATGAAGGCAGCTGAGCTTGAGATGCCCTATAAAATCACGTAAGCCAGTCACCACTTCCTCTTTCCTGAGAAGTCCTTTGCGGGGAGGCTGCCCAGGTGGAGGCCTCTATGGCCTTAGGCGTCTTGTTTCTCCTTGCTGCCTTGATTTGGCCATGCGCTGAGAACATCCATGGTAAATGACCAGTTTTGGAGAACACTCTCTTGGAAGAGTTACTCATATGATGGCTTTGCAGGCAGGCACTCTTCTCCCTGCAGAGAGTGATCTTACTGTTGCTAGAAGAGAAATACTTCTGGGCCATTGTGATTGGAGTCAATGTACCGAAGACCCTTTTTCTCTTTCTACCTAAATGTCTGAAGGTTTTCTCCTTTGTTGTGGTCTTCTCTCTGTCTTGATCCTAATTTGTGGAAGAAGAACCTCAGAAACCATTCTTGGTTCTATGTGTCAGGCTGCCTTTTTGAACCCCTGCTCATTATCAGTACTTGATTGTATTGTGAGATACTTGGTTGTATTTTAACTGACTTTCCAGATTCTTTGTATTTTCTCTTGATGATACTGTTCTTTTTAAAATACTGTCTGCCCTTCACTCATGTCAAGTTCATCAGTGGTTCTGCAAAGCCAATAGGATAAATCTAAATCAATGTCTGGTCTGTCTATAAGTTTTCTATTTTACCTGGGATAGTCTCCACATTTTTTGTGTTATCCAAATGCTTTCCAGCTTCGAGGCCTAACTACATGTCAACTACTCTAAGGCAGCTTTTCAATATTATTTTGTTTATTCTGTATGCTTTTTTAAAAGTCACTTAGCTATGTCTGCTTCTTCAAGTGGGATCTTTTTTTTGGAATTCATGTGTAAATTTCTTTACCCATCTGGCCTGGAAACTGTCTGAGGACTACATATGCTTTCTGGTCCTTCTGTTTTATGTAAGATGAATCTTTCAGAATGCCTAGAATAATATGGCTGATGTGTAGCAGTTAGTTATTGATATTTCAGTAATGTCAGTAATTTCAATCCAGCACCTGTGGAGAAAGGAAAAAATTCTGGCTGGCTGGGATGACTAGAATTCAGGTGACTGAGGCATTCAGGCCAGACTATGGTACATGATACCTGAGGCAGGGAAGACTCTGCTTCAGTTAATGTGTGCAGCAGCTCTGTGTGCTCCGAAGTTTTTCTCAAGTGACTTTTCAGCCAAGACAGTCCCAGGATGTCTAACTGAAACTTGATTCTAATATTAGTATGAAAAAAAGTAGTGAAGCCTGAAGCACAGGCTTCCTGTGTGTCCATGTCCAGTTATCCTTTTGGATTCATCTTGTACCCCAACTGTTGGAGCCTTTTTCTCTTTAGAAAAGATTTTCCTGATAATCTTACCTGGGTGACGTTAGAATAATATTTCAAACACATGGAGAGATGTGGTTGCGATGTTACGGTCCCTAATCTAGAGCACCTGCCTTCTTCAGCCCCATTGTTTCCCCAGTTGCTTTCTTGATGGAAAGACTGAGAACTTCCAGGCTCAAATGGTGTTGGGATCTCTCACACTAATCATAAAAATATTCTTTCATGCTGGGAAGATTCAGATCCTCCAAAGGGTTTAAGGACATCCTGAATAGCTTCTAAGTCTACTGGTCCCTATGACTGGTTTAGGAGCTTTCCCGGTCAGGGTTTGAACCCTACCTAGTCTTTGAATTGTGTGATCTGACTTACTATTATTACTTTGCAGTGGACCTGTAAGTGAGCACCAGTCATACCAGAAAGAAGATGATAAAGAGACAGTCAGCCCCTCAGGCTGGCTCAGAGTCACGTTAGGCTTATTTGTAAGAAGCACGAGATACTGAAATACTAATAGCGGATGGTCATTTTTAAATACAGTTGTTTGACTGTTTTCCAACAGCCACCTGTTGTCAATTGCTACACTATTGAAAGATTCATCTACAGGGAAATAATTTAATGAACTCTTACTGTGGAAAAAAAAATCATCCTTTGATCTTAGCATTTCTACAGCTACCAGAGAGGGACAGTTTACTAAGTGAATCTGTGAAGAGAATAAGGTCAAGGTCAATCATGTATGATTTGTGCTTAATAGCACATGTTATTTAATTTTTAGGTGATATGCAAACTCGTGATGTTTGACATATAGTGTATTGGCAAGATTGGCATGAATAATGGAAAACATCAGTTGCAAGTTACTAAGTTGCATTAGGAAGGAAATCTTAACCTAATAATTTTTCTGACTCCATGCCTCTTATGTCTTCCAAGGGCAAGACCGATTTACTTATCAATTTACTCACCACCCTGTATCCTTTCTGCAGGAGACGATGGCTAGTATCATCATACCTGAGTATCACTGAGCATACTTCTATTGTTTCTTTGTTTTATTTTGTTTTGTCTTTAAAGATGTGCTCCTGGGGAAGAGCAGGCATTCATTAAGTAATCCAAATTACTTATTGGTGGGATAAAAGGTTACTAACTTTATTTACTTGGCAGGTTTGTTCGGCGCCAAAGAGAATTGCCGTGCAAGTGCTTTAGTTGAGGCTGTATTTGAAACACATAGAACTAAGAAGACATATGAGAACATAGGAAAGTGGTCCTAAATGTCATCCAAACCTGCTGTAGCTTACCTTCCAGTTAGTAACTGGAGGAACTGCCACCTCGACAGCATGTTTAACCAGTTCAGCCTGTGCATACATCGGTCTAAGGCTCTGAGTACACTTAGTTAAATCACCAGATCTTCTCAACTTGACTGTGAATATCCACACTGGGTGGCCTTCACTCACTCGTGAATACACTGTATCGCAGTTTTAACCAGTTTCTTCTTACCTAATAATTGTGTGTCTACAGAATTCAAGCACTGTACACCCAGCTGTGAGAATAGTGCCTCCCTAAAGCCTGGATCTCCAGGCAGCCTGTCCCTCCCTCCTGGCCCTCCCCTTTCTTAAAACTAAAGTGCAGAGTGTATCATTTCTCTTCATCTAGAAGTCCTGGTACAGGTAGTACCATCAGCAAGGGCTACAACTCAGATTTTATGTGTGTGTGTGTGTGTATTCAACATTTACTGTGTTCTGTACAGCTGTGACTATAAGGGTAATTAAGAAAATCCATGTTCCAACTATATATTCTAGCTTGGATGACAGGTTGAGTTAGAGTTACTTATATTAATGCCAAAACAGGAAGATAAGATTTAAGCCCCATTACTTTGGTTTTTATAAAACAGGAAGCTCTATCAGATGAGATCTAGAGATGGGTTTTGGGTTATGATTCTAACACCATAATAAGTAAAGGACAGCTGCTGGCTAAGAACGCTCTCCAGCTGCTTGGAAAAAAATCTTTTAAAAATGTTTTCTCTCATTGGCACTTTGTATCAGTCACTATGTAAGGTTTGTTTGTGATGTGCTTTTCCACAATTGCTTTTAAATTTATCTGCTTATATGTGTAACTATATTTTCCATGCTGTGTAGAAGTTGATTATCTAAGTACTTTATAATTCTTCATTCTGCTGTTGGTCATTGGCCTGGATTATTTTGTTCACTTATTAGTATTTCTGATACACTTGTAATTCATTTATTGTGACCATCTTATTGCTTATTTTTGTCATTTTTGTTTCATGTTTTGTCTCTCTCCCCTCCTTTTTTGCCTTTGAGATTTTCTGAAATTTGTTTATTTTTGTCTTTCATTCTATTTTGTTCTTCTCCAACTTGGAAGTTTTGTAATCTGTCTAATTTATTAGGTTTTTTCCCCCTACTACTTATCATGCATCTTTAAATGCTAAAGCTAATAAATCTGCATTTTCTTTCTCAACAACAGAAGGATCTATGACCTTTGACTCTGATCACCCCCTCGGAACTTCTGGTTAATGTTTAGCCAGCACATGAAGTCAAAATAGTCTTGATCCTAATTTGTGGAAGAAGAACCTCAGAAACCATTCTTGGTTCTATGTGTCAGGCTGCCTTTTTGAACCCCTGCTCATTATCAGTACTTGATTGTATTGTGAGATACTTGGTTGTATTTTAACTTACTTTCCAGATTCTTTGTATTTTCTCTTGATGATACTGTTCTTTTTAAAATACTGTCTGCCCTTCACTCATGTCAAGTTCATCAGTGGTTCTGCAAAGCCAATAGGATAAATCTAAATCAATGTCTGGTCTGTCTATAAGTTTTCTATTTTACCTGGGATAGTCTCCACATTTTTTGTGTTATCCAAATGCTTTCCAGCTTCGAGGCCTAACTACATGTCAACTACTCTAAGGCAGCTTTTCAATATTATTTTGTTTATTCTGTATGCTTTTTTAAAAGTCACTTAGCTATGTCTGCTTCTTCAAGTGGGATCTTTTTTTTGGAATTCATGTGTAAATTTCTTTACCCATCTGGCCTGGAAACTGTCTGAGGACTACATATGCTTTCTGGTCCTTCTGTTTTATGTAAGATGAATCTTTCAGAATGCCTAGAATAATATGGCTGATGTGTAGCAGTTAGTTATTGATATTTCAGTAATGTCAGTAATTTCAATCCAGCACCTGTGGAGAAAGGAAAAAATTCTGGCTGGCTGGGATGACTAGAATTCAGGTGACTGAGGCATTCAGGCCAGACTATGGTACATGATACCTGAGGCAGGGAAGACTCTGCTTCAGTTAATGTGTGCAGCAGCTCTGTGTGCTCCGAAGTTTTTCTCAAGTGACTTTTCAGCCAAGACAGTCCCAGGATGTCTAACTGAAACTTGATTCTAATATTAGTATGAAAAGAAGTAGTGAAGCCTGAAGCACAGGCTTCCTGTGTGTCCATGTCCAGTTATCCTTTTGGATTCATCTTGTACCCCAACTGTTGGAACCTTTTTCTCTTTAGAAAAGATTTTCCTGATAATCTTACCTGGGTGACGTTAGAATAATATTTCAAACACATGGAGAGATGTGGTTGCGATGTTACGGTCCCTAATCTAGAGCACCTGCCTTCTTCAGCCCCATTGTTTCCCCAGTTGCTTTCTTGATGGAAAGACTGAGAACTTCCAGGCTCAAATGGTGTTGGGATCTCTCACACTAATCATAAAAATATTCTTTCATGCTGGGAAGATTCAGATCCTCCAAAGGGTTTAAGGACATCCTGAATAGCTTCTAAGTCTGCTGGTCCCTATGACTGGTTTAGGAGCTTTCCCGGTCAGGGTTTGAACCCTACCTAGTCTTTGAATTGTGTGATCTGACTTACTATTATTACTTTGCAGTGGACCTGTAAGTGAGCACCAGTCATACCAGAAAGAAGATGATAAAGAGACAGTCAGCCCCTCAGGCTTGCTCAGAGTCACGTTAGGCTTATTTGTAAGAAGCACGAGATACTGAAATACTAATAGCGGATGGTCATTTTTAAATACAGTTGTTTGACTGTTTTCCAACAGCCACCTGTTGTCAATTGCTACACTATTGAAAGATTCATCTACAGGGAAATAATTTAATGAACTCTTACTGTGGAAAAAAATCATCCTTTGATCTTAGCATTTCTACAGCTACCAGAGAGGGACAGTTTACTAAGTGAATCTGTGAAGAGAATAAGGTCAAGGTCAATCATGTATGATTTGTGCTTAATAGCACATGTTATTTAATTTTTAGGTGATATGCAAACTCGTGATGTTTGACATATAGTGTATTGGCAAGATTGGCATGAATAATGGAAAACATCAGTTGCAAGTTACTAAGTTGCATTAGGAAGGAAATCTTAACCTAATAATTTTTCTGACTCCATGCCTCTTATGTCTTCCAAGGGCAAGACCGATTTACTTATCAATTTACTCACCACCCTGTATCCTTTCTGCAGGAGACGATGGCTAGTATCATCATACCTGAGTATCACTGAGCATACTTCTATTGTTTCTTTGTTTTATTTTGTTTTGTCTTTAAAGATGTGCTCCTGGGGAAGAGCAGGCATTCATTAAGTAATCCAAATTACTTATTGGTGGAATAAAAGGTTACTAACTTTATTTACTTGGCAGGTTTGTTCGGCGCCAAAGAGAATTGCCGTGCAAGTGCTTTAGTTGAGGCTGTATTTGAAACACATAGAACTAAGAAGACATATGAGAACATAGGAAAGTGGTCCTAAATGTCATCCAAACCTGCTGTAGCTTACCTTCCAGTTAGTAACTGGAGGAACTGCCACCTCGACAGCATCTTTAACCAGTTCAGCCTGTGCATACATCGGTCTAAGGCTCTGAGTACACTTAGTTAAATCACCAGATCTTCTCAACTTGACTGTGAATATCCACACTGGGTGGCCTTCACTCACTCGTGAATACACTGTATCGCAGTTTTAACCAGTTTCTTCTTACCTAATAATTGTGTGTCTACAGAATTCAAGCCCTGTCCACCCAGCTGTGAGAATGGTGCCTCCCTAAAGCCTGAATCTCCAGGCAGCCTGTCCCTCCCTCCTGGCCCTCCCCTTTCTTAAAACTAAAGTGGAGAGTGTATCATTTCTGTTCATCTAGAAGTCCTGGTACAGGTAGTACCATCAGCAAGGGCTACAACTCAGATTTTATGTGTGTGTGTGTGTGTGTGTGTGTGTATTCAACATTTACTGTGTTCTGTACAGCTGTGACTATAAGGGTAATTAAGAAAATCCATGTTCCAACTATATATTCTAGCTTGGATGACAGGTTGAGTTAGAGTTACTTATATTAATGCCAAAACAGGAAGATAAGATTTAAGCCCCATTACTTTGGTTTTTATAAAACAGGAAGCTCTATCAGATGAGATCTAGAGATGGGTTTTGGGTTATGATTCTAACACCATAATAAGTAAAGGACAGCTGCTGGCTAAGAACGCTCTCCAGCTGCTTGGAAAAAAATCTTTTAAAAATGTTTTCTCTCATTGGCACTTTGTATCAGTCACTATGTAAGGTTTGTTTGTGATGTGCTTTTCCACAATTGCTTTTAAATTTATCTGCTTATATGTGTAACTATATTTTCCATGCTGTGTAGAAGTTGATTATCTAAGTACTTTATAATTCTTCATTCTGCTGTTGGTCATTGGCCTGGATTATTTTGTTCACTTATTAGTATTTCTGATACACTTGTAATTCATTTATTGTGACCATCTTATTGCTTATTTTTGTCATTTTTGTTTCATGTTTTGTCTCTCTCCCCTCCTTTTTTGCCTTTGAGATTTTCTGAAATTTGTTTATTTTTGTCTTTCATTCTATTTTGTTCTTCTCCAACTTGGAAGTTTTGTAATCTGTCTAATTTATTAGGTTTTTTTCCCCTGCTACTTATCATGCATCTTTAAATGCTAAAGCTAATAAATCTGCATTTTCTTTCTCAACAACAGAAGGATCTATGACCTTTGACTCTGATCACCCCCTCGGAACTTCTGGTTAATGTTTAGCCAGCACATGAAGTCAAAATCCAGCACACTTTTACTTCTTGCAAAAGAAACATGAGCCCATACGAACAAGTGGTTATTACTGACTTACTGAAGATTTCAATGTCAAGGATAAGAATGGGTTTCACATCAAAATTGTCATAGACTTTCCAACCCAGACAGTAGATTTTCTCTTCAGACGATCTCAATTCCACCATTACCACCCTTTCTGCGTCTCTCTCCAGAAAGCATCACTGGGCATACCTCTAATACATCTCTCCTATTTTAATGTTTGCCATTCACATCTGCCCCTTAGTGTTGTCCTTGACATACCACCCTCTTAGGAATCTAATTTCTGTAAGAGGAGGCAGGGGACTACAAGATTATGATTTTCTATTCCCTGTGAAATAACTGAAATCTTGTTATTTGAGGGTATAATAATACAGATATTTTGGGAAATAGTGGTAATGTGAAGACCTTTTGCCTACTATTGTTTAAGCCATGATTACCTTTGCTAGGAAAGTAATACCTTGTATTTCTCACAAAGGGCATAGCTGTATATTCTTTGAGTTCTTCCTTAATGTAAATACACATCTGATACTCTCTCATATGGTTTTTTTCCTGCAGTGAATATAAGCTGTTCCATGGACTGGGTGATGGTCTCAGTTGGCCCATGTGCATACAGCAGCAGTCTGTATATATTTGCTGATGAATTGTATCTTGGACTGGGTTGCCCTGTGACTCGGATACAAACATATGCATATGATTTTATATACCCTGTTCATGACTGCGGGATCAGGACAAAGGTAAGAGTAGTGATTATTTGTAAAAATAACTTCTAAATATTTTTTTTTGAAACTTTATGCCTCGTGCTAAAATTGTCCTGCTTTTGTTGTTATTTTAAAAACAAATTTTGCTTCTAGTTATAGTAATATATGGGTAGATGACAACACAGTTCCTTAGCGAACTGGGACCTCAGCAGGTGTTTTAACAATATGCCCAGGGATGCACAGCTGGTTGTTGGTAATTTAGATGCCAAAGCAGGATGGAGCTTGTGCTTTACCCCACTCTGTCATTTGACCTCCAAATCATCTTTCTCAGTGGAACAGTTGAAACCTACTCAAGAATAAATCACAATGATGGCTCTCAGCAGCACTGTAAGTTTGCTCCTTCGTACTACTGAGATTTTCCCCAGGCACTTTAAATTCACTCTTACAGATAACATTCCTCCCCTGTCCCAGTGGGTGATCAGACCATTGCATACACCTTAATGTGTAGACAGTAGTCAATTTGAGACCTTGAATACTTTCTATTTCTATTCAAAGATGTGCATGCCTGCTGTCTTACTAGAAATGGCTTCCACATAAACTTTGTGCTCTCCTAGGTTGTTTCAGAGGATACTCTCCTTTTTCAAACTGAGATATACTTTAATCCTAGGAATACACATTGTGACTGTCAGAAAATCCCTTTGGAGTGTTCTGCCTCTAGGTGAGTCTAAGAGACCAGACAGATTCCTTTTGAATGTGTTAGCTTCACCTTTACTTCTCAGATGCTTCTGCAGAACAATTTTAGAGACTTTTCCATACATATGAGTCCAAACACCAAATTAGCATTTACAAAAATATTTTGAGAACACTTACTTTTATAAATTTTTAAATGTAATATTCATTTTAGGGCCAAAACATAACAATTCAGTATAACTAGGATATTTTAGAGTAACTGGGCTGCAAAACAATCACTGAATACTCCATTACCTTAGTAAATGAAAGAATCAAGCATGATAGGATCTTCTAATATCTTCTCCCTCAGAATACTCTTTCTGCTACATTTTAAAGTTCAATTCCATGTTAAGAGTCAGTGACTTAAAAGTTAAGAGAAAACCAATCTTTTATTTTAATATGACATGGAGATACATGAAAGGCTTATCAACCTGATTATTACATGCACTTGGCTTATAATTTTGTGGAACTCAGACGTTGAATCCCCAAATGACTCCCCCATGAACTTTGAGATCAGTGGAATGGTATACGCTCAAACAGTTTTACTGTGGCACTAAAATATTTTACAGTGAGCGTTATAAATCTGAGTGATAAATCTTGGAAGTCACCTGAAAACCACAGGAAAAAATATTAAAGAAAGATATGGAAAGTGTTGACTTAAAAGATTTAGAGCTCAGAGAAAATGTTCAATATCTTAACAGGATCAGAATCCTTTTGTGTGAGTAGAATCAGTAAATTGATCTTATGCAATATCATTTTAATAAAAAACAATGAAAAAATAACATTTTAACCATTTTAGGGCATAAAGTTCAGTGACATAAAGTACCTTTGCATTGTTAAATATTCTTGATCTTCTCTTTAACTTATTTTCATAAGACAAAACCAAGGCTGAGGAATTTAGTGATACTCTGGGAAGTAGCTGACCCCTAAATAGAAACCAACACTTAAATCTGTGTATGCATGTGTACACATGCACACACACATTTGCATTCCTATATATTAGGGTAATATAAAAAGTCTGACCTAATGCCCTTAAGTTATCACTGCTCTTTAGGCTACCAGATTAATAGTGATCGAAGCATTTCTATTTTGATAATTATTATGCTGTTGTTTGTAGCTTATCTTCCTTAGAAAAAATGAAGACTAGTCCAGCAAAGTATATGATTAGGTTTTTGGTGCATGAATTTACTGCTGTACACACACACACCACCTTTGTTATCACTACAGTGGGCAAGAGAAAGCTTTTGACAGTTTTACTTAGCATTCTTAGGATCCATTTGGCTAAGTCTGTTTTACTGGGCACTTGGTACTCTACTAAAGTAGGCATTACAAATCCTTCAGAAAGTGTAGGCACTGTGCCACACCTCCTAAACCACCATATTGAAAATGATCCTGGTGTGTTAAACAGTGGTAAAAATAACCTGGCCCCAGGTGTAGACTCAGAAACACCTGGTACCAGGTAGACCAACATGCTCTGCTTTCTGTTTCTCTTTTTCTTTAGGAAATCAGTGTGGCTTACACTAGTTTCTACAGATAATGAAATAAGATTGGATCCCAGTCCCTTTATTGCTGACTTTGAGACAACACCAGAAGAGGTGGGATTATTAAACCCTAGCCAAACTGTCTCCCTCCCTAAAGAGAAATGGAAATTTGGAATTGGTATCATGAATTTTGTGAGAAAAAACATTTTCATACAAAAGTAATTGGTGTAACTCTTTCCTTACATATTTGTTGCTTAAAAATCCCTAATGCAGTGAAAGTGTATTTTTACGGGTTATGGCTCATTAATTTAATGTTAATTAGATAATTTATATTATCCATCTAAATTTTATTTTCTGTTCTGTTCTATATAGTAGATTAGCAATATGTCCTCAAGGACATTAATTTGATCTAGCTGGTATGAATCTCCAAGAAATAGGTCCTACATTTTTTTAGTAGAAGTAAAGAACAGAGATAGATATATAAATGTGCCAGGGACTAAAATATGAGCAGAGTCAAAATTTAACATACCAACTTCCAGGCAAGACAAAGTCTTGTAGGTGAAGATACTTTAACATGTATGGGCTTTCCTAATTAGTGAAGTCCTAAAAATAATTCAGTGTACATCATACTTGAGTAATGATTGCAGAAGGAAATTAGATTCATATTCTAGAATATAAGTAACCACTTCCTTAACTGATATTTGATGTCAGACTTTCTTTTCTCCCTGATTCTTCTACACTTGAGATAATTGACTTATTGAGGTGGTATAGCCTAGAATCATGCTGCCACTTAAGAGCAATTCTTTAAATGACCAGTTATCACCAACTACTTGTGCCATCTCCTTTTCCCTAAAGAGGGAGTATATCCATGTAATATACTCTGCTTTTTGGGAGATTTCTTATATCAGTTACGAGAATTGAGTTTTGCCATTGGTTATTCAATTCTTAATGTGCATTTTGGATGCTACAAATTTCTGGACATTGATTTTGCTAAGATACTCTTCTTTGGTATTTTCATAACATTTAAAAAAATTTAAAAATCTGTTACCTTATTTCCAATAAAATGCTGCCTGTATTGTTTACTTGTCATCTAGTAAGAATGACAGAATTTAAACATCATCTCAATGGGCATCTACTTTTGACGGTTAAAGACAGCTAAAAGGTAACCCTTCTGTAAGGCTTAATATGTATCAGGCAATGTTACAAGCATGTTGCAACAGATGACTTAATAACCCAAAGAGTTATTTATTATTATTATACCAATCTACAGATAAGAAAACAAACAGCGTTTGAATCATTGCCAATTGTTCTTAAAAAATTGGAGATCTGTTTCTAATCTTGGAGGAAAAGCTTCTAGCTCTTCACCACTGGGTATGATGTTCACTGTGGAATTGCCATATGTGGCCTTCATGGTGTTAAGGTGCATTCCAGCTATACCTCATTAGTTGAGAGGTTTTATCATTAAAAGATGTTGAATTTTTCAGATTTCACCACTTCTCTTCAGAATAATACTGAAAGTCCTAACCAGAGCAATTAGGCAAGAAAAATAAATAAAAGCCACCCAAACTGGAAAGAAGTAAAGTTGTCTCTGCTTGCAGATGACATGATCTCATACATAGAAAGCCTTAAAGACTCTATCAAAAAAAATGCACTGAATTCACTAAAGTTGCTGGATTAAAAAATACATTAAAACCAGTGCGTGTCTACATATTAACAAAGAACTATCTGAAAAAGAATTAAGAAAATCCTATTTATAATAGCATCAAAATGAATAAAATACATAGGAATAAATTTAACCAAGGAAGTGAAAGATCTGTGTACTGAAAACTATAAAACTTGAAAGAAATTGAAGACACAAATAAATGAAAGGATATTCCATATTAATGGATTAGAAGAACTAATTCTGTCCAAATGTCCATACTCCCTCAAATAATCTACAGATTCAATGCAATTTCTAACAAAATTCCAATGGCATTTTTCACAGAAATATAAAAAACAATTCTAAAATTTGAATGGAACCAACAAAGGGCAACGGATAACATAAGGAGTCTTAAGAAAGAAGGACAAAGCTGTAGGCATCACTTCCTGATTTCAAACTATATTGCAAAGCTACAGTAATCAAAATAGTACAGTACTGGCATAAAGACAGACAATGGAAAAATTAGTTCAGATATAAACCCACACATATATGACCAAATAATCTTCAATAAAGGTGTCAAAATGCACATTTTGGAAAGCATATTTTTTTCTATAAATGGTGTTGGGAACCCTGGATTTCCATATGCCAAAAAAAAGGGGGGGGGGAATCAGATCCTTATCTTACAGCATACAAAAAACAAATAAATACACCTCAAAATGGGTAAAGCAGAAGACCCAAAACTCTAAAAATCCTAGAAGTAAGCGTAGGGGAAAGCTCCATGACACTGGTTTTGGCAATGATTTTTTGGATGCAACAAAAGTAAGCATAAACAAGTGGGACTGCACCAAACTGAAATTTTCTGCACAGCAAAGGAAACAACAGAATGAAGGGCAATCTACAGAATGGGAGAAAATTTTGTAAACTATACATCTGGTAAGGGATTAATATCCAAAATATGTAGGGAGCTCCTACAAGCCAATAGTAAAAAAACAACCAGAGTAAAAATTGGGCAAAGGATGTGAATAGACATTTCTCAAAAGAAGACATACAAATGGGCAACAGGTGTACAAAAAGGTCCTGAACATCACTAACCATCAGGGAAATGCAGGTCAAAATCAGTGAGACAGCACCTCAATCCTGTTAGGGTGGCTGTTATCTAAAAGTCAAAATGTAACAAGTGTTGGCCAGGATGTGGAGAAAAACCCTTACACACTGTTGTTAAGAATGTAAATTGGTATAGCAGCTATGGGAAATGATATGGAGGTTCCTCAACAAATTAAAAATATATCTGCTTTATGTATGCACCCCAGTGTCTATTGTGGAATTATTCATAATAGTCAAGTAATGGAAACAACCTAAATGTCTCCCAGTGGATGAATGGATAAAGATGATGTGATGGATATATAATGGAATGGAATGTTATTCAGCCATAAAAAGGAAATCTTGCCATTTGTGACAGCATGGATGAGCGTGAAAGGTATTATGCTAAGTGAAATAAGCCAGACAAAGACAAGGGCTGCATGATTCCACTTACATGTGGAATCTAACATAATCAAATCATAGAAACAGACTATAAGGGTAGTTACCAGGGCTCAGGGAAGTCTATGTGGAAGAAACAGGGAAATGTTGGTCAAAGGGTATGAACTTTTAGTTATAAGATTAATAAGGTCTAGAAACCTAATATATACCATGGTGACTACAGTAACTAATAATATATAATTGTAATTTGCTGAGAGTAAATCATAAGTATTCTCACCACAAAATAAAGGCAACCATGTGAGTTGATGGATATACATTATATATATATAACAGCTTGATTGTGGTAGTCATTTTACAATGTATCTCAAAACATCACAGTGTGCACCTTAAATACACACAATTTTTATTTGTCAATTATACCTCAAAAAAGCAGAAAAAAATTAAAGTATAAAATTAGTAAAACCAAAACCAAAACTGGGCCATCTAGATCTCGATCAGTCTCTGCTATTGGCCACTACATTGCACTGCTTCAAATCCTTTTAAGTTGCTGAACTGTAGTTCTCCAGAAATAATTGCTATTAAAGATGTTACACAGCCCTCAGTAAAACTTAAAGTTTAGCTCTGGACAGTGCCTTTTCCTGAATCTGGAACTAAAATACATTTATGCTAACAGGTTTGGGAGTGTATAGGGTACGATGAATAATTGCTTTGGGCAAAGGAATTTATCGGTTGTGAGAGAACAAGTTTGCTCAGTACTTTTGTGCTATAAATGGTGAGGATGCTTTAGAAGGGTGGCCCTAAGACCTTTAATCCCACCTCTTCATTTTATGAGCAGTGTCATTTATGCTCAGTAAGGGAAAGCAATTTGTCTTAAATTCACATGAGTATTTAATAATGAAGCCAGTACAAATCCAGGTCCATTCCTCATTTCACAAATTCTCCCTCTTCCATATTGGTTATTTTCATTTTACCTGTATTATCTGTATTTATTAGTTTAAAACACTTGAAAGTACTTATATAAATGTATCGATTTCATGTGGTTCAATCAGAGCTCATTTCAGTTTCCCTCTTTTCCTCCCAAGTAGAACAAGGAATATTATACATTTAAAAAGAAAACAAATCATTTTTTAAATATCTAAATCAATTACTCTTAACACTTTGTTAATGTTTAATTATACCAAGTCTATGTTTACCTCCACAAAAACTGGAAGTATCCTTTAATTTTGAGAATTATTCCAGGTTTTATGTATTATCTTTAATGAATTTATTAATCATTTATCAAAAGAAGAAACAGACGTCCATGTCCACAGAAACTCACAAAATCATGGGAGCCTCTCAGGGCTACCAACAGGAACAGAGAGTTTTTGTTTTAGTGAAATCAGAAGCCATTTCAAGCCTTGTAAGCAGAGAAATGACATGATCTGATTCATATCTTAAAATCACTTAGTACCCTATGCACAATGGATAAAAGCAGTATCTTGTAGGCATTGTAAGGATTTTATAAGTAATTAAGGCAAGTGATGATGTTATCATGAATTGACTTTTTGGCAATAAAGATGGAAAAATATGTGGACTAATTTCCTATGTGCTTTGGAGATAGAAGAAAGAATTTCCAAATGGAGTTAAAGTAGGGTAAGAAATAAATTTACTAAGCATGACAACTAGATGTCTGGCTCATGCAATTGTATGGATAGTAAATATTATTACTAGTATTTGGGAATATTGGAAAGATTGAGGGTAGAATATTTTGCCCATGATAAGCTGAGATGTTGAGGTAACAATTGGCTGGATAGTCAGAGATCACTTTGAATGGCATCTGAGAAAAAGAAAACAAGGATTGGGATATGATTGTGGGATCTCTTTTCTTGACTGAGTTCTATTTAATGTTTTTCACTTTCTTATTCCAATGAGTGCAAAGCATAAGAATTTAAATCAAGCCTGTATTTTTATAATTAATTAAAAATACATGAATAGCCTTTTATTCTGCTCCTCACCCGTGACTTTTTTTTTTCCTGTTCGCCCATGTAAACTCATGATTTTTTTAAAAAAGTAATTTTGGGGAAATTATATTCCCCAGCTTGTTCTTGAATAATAGTTCAGGGCAATTTGACTGTTGCTGGAACAGTTGGAATCTAGGAGTGAAAAATTCAGATCTGAGGTCTCAGTGTGCCCATTGTATAAAGCAGTAGAAGCATGTTTCTCCACCTGCAGCAGACAGCATTGATTAGGTTCTGCTACAATAATACGCCCTGAAATATCAGTGGCTTAAAAGAACAGAAGTTTATTTCTCACTTGGTAGGTCAGTTGTGTCTTAACAAACCTCCCAGGCAGCAGGAACCCAATGCTCCATCTACATCTATTTTATGAAAGCTTCCTGTCCACAAGTGCTGTCACCAGCACTTAGGCGTGAAAACATGCCTAAAATCCATTGTGGGCTCCTGTGAGTTGACCAATATGTGAAGAGCTATCATAGGGTTATAAATCAAATACTCAAAGATTTCAGAGCCTCAAAATATTGTTTTGGTTAAGGTGTCACTTAAATAATTGCTATTTAAAAAAATAGAGTATGTTCATATACAATCTTCTCTTGGTTTCAAATATATGGTGGTTTCAAATATACAACACAATGGTTCAACAATTACCCATATTATTAAACCATCCCCCACTCTAGTGTGGTTACTATCTGACACATAGTAAGATGCTACAGAATCATTGACTATATTTTCCATGCTGTACTACCATCCCTGTGACCAACTTATATTGTGATTGTGAATTATTGTGCCCCTTTATCCCCTTCACCCTTCCCCTGCCACCCACCCAAACCCCACCCCTTGGTAACCACTAGTCTCTTATCTATGTCTGTGAGTCTACTGCTATTTTGTTCCTTCTCTTTTGTTTTCTTTTTTTATTCCACAAATAAGTGAAATCATTTGATGTTTGTAATTCTCTGCCTGGCTTATTTCACTGAGCATGATACCCTGTAGATCTATCCATGTTGTTGCAAATGGTGGGATTTCTTTTCTTTTTATGGCTCAATCATATTCCATTGTGTATATGTACCACTTCTTCTTTATCCATTTATCTACTGATGGACACTTAGGTTGCTTTGATATCTTGCCTATTGCAAATAGTGCAGTGATAAAGGGGTGCATATGTCTTTTCAAATCAGGGACTTTTGTTTTTTTCATGTAAATTCCTAGAAATGGAATTACTGGGTCAACTGGTATTTCTATTTTTAGTTTTTCGAGGAACCTCCATATTGCTTTCCACAATGGTTCACCAATTTACATTTCCACTAACAGTGTAGGAGGGTTCCCATTTCTCCATATCCTCACCAGCATTTGTCATTTCTTGTCTTTTGGAGGGTGGCCATCCTAACTGGTGTGAGGTGACATCTCATGTGACTTTAAGTTGCATTTCTCTGATGATTAGCAATGTGGAGCATCTTTTCACATGCCTGTTGGCTATTTGTGTTTCTTCGTTGGAGAGGTTTTTGTTCAGGTCCTTGCCCATTTTTTAATCTAGATCTCGATCAGTCTCTGCTATTGGCCACTACATTGCACTGCTTCAAATCCTTTTAAGTTGCTGAAC